AAAAAAAAAAAAAAATAGTGTTTACACCTCTGAGGCCCATGTTGCCTGGCGAGCACTCAGCCAAGACGAGGTCTCTGATGACCAGCACGGTGTCACTCAGGGTCAAGAGCTCTGATTCTGAGCCCCTTGTTCAGGGGGAAGTCGCTGAGTGCCCAGGCGGGGCTTCCTAACAGCAGTAACTGCACCCCATCACATACCCTGGTGGCTGGGCTCCCTCCGACCCTCTTATAACAGCTTGGGACAGGCGAGACCTCAGGTTCCATGGGCCTGTCTGGGAGGACAGGAGTGAGGATAGAGGTGGATGAGGGGATGGCCTGACCTTCTCCTCTGCCCAGACTCACCAACCACTTCCTGTGGGTCCTGACCCTGCAGGTGGCATCTGGGCACCAGGGCGGTGGTGATGGGGGAGTACTCTGTGTCCCCTGCTTCTCCGGACTTTCCAGTTCCACTCAGGCTGGTGTACAGTAGGGGGCCTCTCTTCACAGACTACACTCTGCCACCGAGTGAGGAGGGGACTCCGACGACTCCCGTTGATGCCACTGCAGGTGCCACACCCTCATCTCACTGCTGTCTGGGCTTCACGGGACCACAGCAGACAGAGGGTGGGAGGACCTGGAAAGTAGGAGGCTTTCTGGATGAGAAACAACAAAAAATGCTTGCCGGCTGGGGAGGGACAGTATGTATTTGCTGAAAATAGCAAATGCTGACCTTGAGTATTATAAAGTCCTGCTCCCCCTGCAGCCCAAGAGTTGTGGTTTTGTTCTTTCGCTTCCTACGTTAATTGCAATGAGATGGGAAGTCATGCAGGGTCATGAGTTTATGGGAGGCAGAAGGGGGCAGAAGGACCAGCCGCCGCCCTCTAAGTCCAGCTTTCATAGTCACGTGTCCGTTCAGTGTCATAAGCTGGGCAGGGAGCTGAGGCAGTCCGCACAACTCCCGGGGCTCAGAGGATGTCACAGGGCAAAGCAACCACCTCTGGGTGAGTGTGTGTGCGTGTGTGTCGGGGGGCAGTCTTTACAACAAACGGTGTTTGCAAGGACCATTCCCTCGCCCAGGACGGGGGCTGCCTTCCCACGGCCTTGGAGCGAGACAGAACATTTTCTGCTTCTGTTGCTCAGGTCTCTTTTGATGCCAGTTAGGAACCGACAGTTCGGAAGCAGTTCGAAAGGTCAAACTCTGGGACATGGAATGTACTTCCCAGATTTCCCTCGGGACCTTGACTCATGCAGTAGTTACAGGTGTTGTACCTTGTTTCCTCGTGTTTGCAGATTTTCTTATTACCTTTTTGTTATTTCTAGTTCGATTCCATTTCAGTCAGAGAACACACTATATGATTTCAATTCCTGCACATTTGTTGGGGTCTTTCCTATGGCCCAGGCTATGGTCCATCTTCGTGAACACTCCAGGGGCTGTTTGAGAAGAATGTGACCCTGCTGTTGTGGGTGGAGGGTTCTCTAAGTGTCCGTTGAATCCTGTTGGCTGATAGTGTTGACTTCTCCACCTCCTGGCTGATTTCCTGCCTTGCCCTGTCAGTTGTTGAGAGAAGGGTGTTAACTCTCCATTTGTAACTGTCTGTCAATTGCTCCTTTCTGGCCTTCCATCCTGCTTTCAGGATTTCTATGACTTCTTGGGGGAGCTCTGGTAGTGTAGTGCCTAAGACACTTGACTGCTAGCCAGAAGGCTGGCGGTTCAAACCCACCAGCCACTCCTCAGAAGAAAGGTTGGGCAATCTACTTCCGTAGTGATACTGCCTCGGAAACCCAAGGAGGGGTCGCTGTGAGTCGATCCGACTTGAGGCACATAACAACAACATGACTTCTTGGGGACTGAGCCTCTTTTCCTTAAGTACTGTCCCCCTCTGTTTCTGGTCATTTTCTTTCCTCTGTAGTCTATTTTTTCTGATAATAATGTAGCCACTCCTGCAATCTTTTGATTGATGTTTCTATACTGAAAACAATCCTTTTTGAATTCTTCCAACCTTCCGACATGATTACATTCGAACCCTCTTAAAGACACCATGTTCTTCAACCTACTCTTGTCTGCCTTTTAGTGGTTGGTGTTTGGGGTTTCAGACTGCCACTTCATTTTTCTGTTTTCTGTGTCTCCTCTCCTCACTTGTTTGTGTTTTTTGTCCCGTCTTCCTGTGGGTCACTTGAACAACTTTTAAAATTCCCTTTTGATTAAGCTATAGTGTTTTTGCAGTTATCTCTTTCCAAGGCAGCCAGGCCTGAGTGCAGGGGCTGGCTTTGAGGTCTGCTACCGCGC